AAGAAAAGCTGAGCTAAAACTCTGACTTAAGTACTGTATGCTATTGTTCACAGGTGCAGAGAGTTACTTCAGAATCTGCTTAAAAACAAAGATACACTTTGAAAATGAAAACAAGAAAGTTCATTTAGCTTTGTCTCTTTACTTCGAATCGCCTGCAAAAGAAATATAGATTTTTTTTTTTACCATTTTGAGTTTTGATCTCATATAACGATTGCAGTTTTGTCTGTAGTTCTTCATTTTCAGTTTCCAATTCTGAGATACGATTATTTAAGGCAGACACATCATTATTCTTTGATGAAAACTAAAAGAAAAAAAAAGTTATGGTTTTTCAAATGCATGAAAACACCAGAAACACAGCAAACTCAGTGCAACTTTTTCTTCTGATTTTTAGTAAGATTTAGAACAGCTGTTTTTCTAACATTTGAAAATGCAATAAACTAGCTAATCTCTAACAAATTTTCTCCTGAATGCTGGTAACACCAGTTTGTACTACTTTTTGTTAAAATTCATCCTGTATCAATATTTTATGCCCATTCAAATTTTATAATTTATTCATAAACATTTTGAATAAATTATTTTAATATGCTATTTAGCTCTTTTTTTTTTTTCAGTCAAATCTCTCAGCACAGTAGTTCTAAAAACAGACATGCAATACTAAACATAATGTCACACATACATTTTTCAGTTCATCCTCCAGTTGTTTGATTCTTGATTTAGACCAAGCCTTCATTTTCAGAAACTTTGCTTCAGATTTGCTGGCTTCTTCTGTTTTCAATTTCAATTGTACTAAGAAACAAGACACAAAAAAAAAAAATGTAAAACTTTAGAAAGATGATTAATACAAGACCTGTGTTTAATTCCTTTAGTAACTGGTAGTTATACACTTACACAAGACAACTGCATTTAAAGAAAAACAAAACAATAAGAGACGCAGTGAGAAATTTACAGTTCATGTGGCTATCTTGGTACTTCTATAGCTCTCACCATTACAGCATTTTTCAATTAGTGTGGCAGTAACTCTTCCACCAAGTTTAAAGTAGTTTAAAAGTTTTTTAAAGTTTCTACTTGCAGGAGGGATGAAAGTGGCATAGAATACATAACAGCATGGGGCAGAGGAACCCTTCACGTGTAACTGTTTAAACAGGATACCTTCTAAATCTTCCATCTGCTCTTTGGTTTTAGACTCTAGATCTCCCACTTCTTTGGAGTTAGTCTGTCCACTACCACTTAATTCTGCCACTTGTTTCTTAAGCTGAAACAGGGCCTGATCCTTTTCTTGCAGCTCAGTTTCATGTTTCTCCTGAATTTCATGCAGTTCAGCATTATGTTTCTCCTTAACTTTTGTCATTTCAAGCTCATGTTTCTCCATCATGTCTCTCAACTGGGCTCTCATTACATGTTTCTCAGCATCCAGTTTAGACTGGAGGTTTTCTTTTTCGGACAGAAGACGCTTCAGGTTTTCATTGATCTCCTGTAAGAAAAAAAAAACAACTTTATATTTTAATGCAAAGTATTTTCAGTACCACTGTCCAATATTGTATCTGGATTCCTGCATACATCATAATCAGAAACCAGCACAACCTGGCTCTACTAGAAAAGCTACTCAGCTCTGACTTTCCAAGACAGAAGTGGGGACTTAAGCAAAATGGCATCATTATTTGAGTGCAAATTACACGCAACCTCTCCTGCAGGTGAAAATGCAGTCTTCCATACATGGCAAGTTCCCAAAATTAATCAAAACAAACTATGGGTGACAGTTGCCAGTTTTATATTTTATGACCTTTCCTCTAAGTTAATTTCCTAACTGGAATTAATATTTGTTTGCACAACTATAGTTGCATTATTAGCACGTGTCAAAGCCTCACAGAGAACTGTCTGAATACTTTACGCAAAACTATCTTTTGTGCACAACCAGCTTTTTGAACTTGTAATTGACCTGATGAGTTTAGCTGAGCATATACACTATTTCTTACTTTCAGTTGTTGGTCCTTGGCATCCAATTCTTTTTGCAAGACATCTATCACCTGTGTCCTTCCCAGCATGACTTCTTCCTTTTCATGGAGCTTCTGTTTCAAGGCCTTTAGTAGCTATCAAAAAATTTTAAAAAAAATCAAATAAAGAAGTTAAAACTTTCAGAAGCAAAAGAAAAAGACTTATCCTTATTTTCGCAACCAGACATCTGAACTGTTCTGCAGAGGTTAGTAATTACATGATTCCAAATTCCCACATCTCACTATATCAAAGCAAGCTATTGAGTTTCCAAAGCAACGTACCTGTTCCAGGTCAGCACTTGCATCAGACTTAGCAGCTAATTTAAAGAGCTCCTGCTCATGCTTTTCTCTCTGTGCTTCTAGTTCCTTATCCTTTTCCTGGATAATATTTTGAAACACGCGTAGCTAAAAACATACAGAAAGTAAATATGAAACCAGTCCACAAAGGTAAAGGACACTGAATCGTCTAACTAAAGGTACAGCAAGACAGTGTATTCCATCTTAAGTCTCAGTTTTGCTTCCACTTACCAGTAAATGTAACAATCAGTCAGTGACTACTGATGTCAGTGGTGCATGCAGATAAACCTCCAACTGACATAACGCTTGTCTTAATTCCACAATAACAAACCTTAAATGAGAAGCATGGTACCGTTCATTTTTGTTTAATATCACAGATCTTCACCTTTCTTTTTTGGATGCCATTGTTCCGAGACTTCTAATTTCTAAAAGATTGTTAATTTCTAGCCTCTATCAATTAAGCCCAAATGGCAGCTTTGAAACCTAACCGCTGCCTCCTCAAAAACTTGTGTTCTACTTCTAATGTCTTTTTTAGCCATCTTAAATTTTTTGTAAGAACTGTATGTAACTTTTGGAATCTTGCTAATGTCATTTTGAATAAATTCACATAACGCCTACCCAGACATATATCTGAGTGATGACACTGTGCTCGCTAAAGTGGCTTTTACAATCTCAGCTGTCTTTTTTTTTTTCCTTCCTGGATCAAAACTAATTCCTCATGTATGACTAAACACATGTGGTCATTTTTAGGATCAAAAGTTGCATTTTTGTTACAGAAAAACAAACTAAGACATCATATGAGGTGGGAAATACTCAGATGAATACTTTCAGACACGGTAGGGCTCAAATGCTGAGGGATCAGACACATCACATTAAAATTGGAGATTTAGGTTCCAAAGGAGCTGCAAGAGCCTGGTAAGAGGAATGGATAACATGCTGTCTAATTCCACTTTTTTATTTTTCTTTAAGTATTATTTATCAAGTTGTTGTTGTTTGTCTTTGTCTGTTAATCAGCTGCAAATTTCTCGAAAGCCTTCCCATTAAGTACACCAAACATCTTGAGCTGTATTTCAGTCAGGAGGAACACACTTTTTTTTTCCTTCCATGCTCCCACGCTACAAAGCATGCCAGACAGCTCACAGCACCAGCGAAAGTGATCTGCCAAACAGTCACATATGCCAAGAGTGGTTACAACCATCCAAAACCACTACCAACCACCACACATGTGCATTTTTGCACGTTCAGATGTAGCACTACAACAGAGAGATGTCTGGAGGTTCTTCAACTGGAATTCCACACAATTCATTTCACTCTTACGCACCAGTTCCTTGTGCCCAAACATCAGCTGCATCCTTAAAACTCTTTTCTTGCATAAAACCTTCAATTATCACCAGCACAAACCATTTACTGCTTCATTATTCTCATTTCATCTGATCACCATATAGATATCTACTCAAGAATCATCCAAAATTAAAAATGGCATTTCTCAGCTATTGCAACAGAAACACTACAGCCAACATACCACTTCTTCCACCAAAGAATGTAAATATTTTGAGAGTTTACTTACATTTTCCATATATGTAGCTTCTTTTCCTTGGAAATGCTCTCTTTCTTTGTTCTGAATATTTTTAAGACTCTCAATCTGTTCCTGGAACAAGCTACATTTTTCTTCACTTTCTCCAACCTTCTTGGTAAGGTTCTGAACTAGAATCTGCATGCTCTGTAGTGATGACTCTTTATCAGCCAGTTGATTCTTTAGAATGCAAATCAAAAGGCAATTAAAAGAACAGACCCAGAAAAAAGATAAAGCAATCATCATGAAGCCACCTCCTAGTCCTTCCCTCATTTAAAGCAACATTAAACCCAAATTTCAGGTTTGGTTTTAATTGGAATGAAATTTGTCAGCAGCTTCTGAAGTCAATCCTAATACATACAAATAATACTGACAAAAGCAGTAAATAAGTACAGATTTACTACCAAAAGTGAAAATAATCAGTGAAGAACTTTTATTCATATGAACAGGCGCAGAGGATTTGTCCTTCAGAGAAGGATCCACCATACAATGCACCAGAATTCCTTGATTCCTGGAAACCTCTACGGAGATTTTAAATTTGAGCTGCTAATGTACCTTCAGTTCTTCATTGGGCAAGAGTACTTCATTGGCAACACCACTCGATCCACATGCCATCTGTAAATCGATGATATAAGCATCTCTTTCAGCTAACTTCTTTTCCTTCTCTGCCAGCATGGCATCCATCTCAGCCCCACGACAGCGCTGGGCCTCCAGTTCAACACTCTGAAAATGAAAAGAAAGCATTGTTCATCATCTATGCTTCCACCATCTACAGCACAGAACAGTTGGCATTATTTCCTTACTGCCTGTTTCAGGGTACTGAAAAAAAATTACAGTCAGATTTACAACCTGCTTCAATTTTAACTGTAATCTTTAATTACCACCCGTTTCTCTGAAATTCTGCAGCGTTCACATTCCTGCCACCTTCCACAGTCATGTCCACAAAACAGCTACAAACCACACCATGAAATCACTCCTTGCCTACTTCTCTTCCAGTTGTGGCTTCTTTTTGCAACAAGAACTGAAGCAAAACAGCGTTTTTGTTCAAAATACAAGATTTAAATATAACAGGAACCCACAAAGTTCATATTTGCATAGCCTATTCCATTCCTTTTCAAACAACAACAAAAGCATGCTTGAGGATTCACTGCTCACTGAAGACACAACGACAGAACTCTCGCTGCGTTTGCTTGGGCAGGTTGTAGCGTATAACCTTCTCTGGCTACTCAACAGAAAACTTTCTCAGAATGTCTGTTTAGTAATGTATTTATACACTTCTATTTAAATAAATATATTTAAACATAATCCTACACCACAAATGTGAAAAGCCACACACTTAGCATCACATGAAACACCACCTTTTTTTGCAGCTCTTCATTTTTTTGTGTGATCTGGGTTTCTAGTTCTTCAATTCTCCTTCTCAGTACTAATATTTTCCCACGATTTGCCGCAGCATTTTCCTGGTCACCATCTTTGGATGCCTGCAAAAACAGGGGGTGTTGCATTCCGTAAATAGGTAGCACCTGACTTCAGCACCTCTACCTATTCAGATTATGCTGGTGAGAAAAAGTGGACTTGACTCATGGTTTGTGTTTCAGTTCTCTTCCATATTGCATATTCCATCTAGAAGCTTGACAAAGCAACCACAGAATTTATATCAAGCTTTTAAAAAATCTTTGTATTTAAATTATTAATGATAATTATTACTGCAAAGTGGACTGGAACATGCAATAAGAGCATTCATTTCTTCTGGCAATTGTAGCCCATACAATATGGCAAGCGTAGCCCATGTAACTCAGATGGAGAAAAGGAGGGGGAGTAAAAAGTGTAAATCAAACTGTTCCTAAGCACAATGTTTCCAATAAGAATTTCTGTAGGTATAACTACTGGGTTACAGAAATTATTTGCCATTTCAAAATAAATCAAGTGCAATTGCTAGAAATGTTTTATTAGCAAAATATATCAGAAGCATAAATACTGCACATCTTTGAGGACACCCAGGGACTTCAGCAAACTGATCTGTTTCTGTTCCCTTTCAGCATACCTTTGTAACACAAACGCCCCAGAAATAAATAGTAAAGCCTTGCTAAAGTGATTTTAGATGCTGTATGAAGTCAAAATATGCTATTTTGAAGAAACACAAGTCTACTATCACAACTGTCCTAGTAAAAACTGATCTGATAATCTTTGTTAACAGTAAAACACTGTTCACTTAAAGAGACACTCCTACATGTAATTTACATTTTGCTACCAAGGACATTTTTATATATCCCTTTTTGTCTTGGACATTAAGGTAACAAGTTAGGTTTTGTTTTCATTTCTTCTCAAAAACTTATCTTCCTGACTCACATGTTAAAAGTTTTGAGCAGCTAATAAGATGAGGATCAGTAAGAACTCTTTTACTAAAACAATCTGAAAGGAATTTACAATTTTCTAAGTTTCTATAGAAAGATAAAACAAGAATGAAATAGAAATACACAGATGGACTGACAGCACCCACAGAGTCTACCCTGATCCTAACCTGACTCAGCTCAAAATCTCAACTTCAGTTCCACATTTGAGTCCAGCAGGCAAAACTGTCTACAGCCTTACAAAAATTACATCTGCTTTAAAATGTAAGGACACTTACCTTTTTTTGTTCTGTTTTTGCCTCTAAGCCTCCTGATACTGATAACTGTTTCTTAAGTTCTTCCAGTTGTGAGGTTAACGACGCAACCTTGGCTTTGTTCTGCAGCTTCAACTTGGAAAGTTTGGCATCAGCAGATTCCTTCTCTTCCTACAAACATCAAAGTAATGAAGGACTAAATCAGCTACATGAACAACTGCACCATTCAATTCTTCCATTAGAAAAAAAGAAATGTAAAGTGGTTACCAAAAAAACCTTTCCCCTGAAGAGACATTATAATGTTACCTGCAACAGGTGTGTGTATATGAAACACCCTTCCTTTCATTATTTAGACTTTCTTTCATTATTACATTTTCATGGTTGTTACTATTATTGTATAGAATCCAGAGCACTATGTCAGAAATTTTCCTATTTTTTTGATAGTAATACAAATTCAGGGCTTGATTTTTTTAACAAGAAGAGGGTTGTGGTGGGTTTTTTTGATGCAAAAAGAAAGACACCTCCAAAATACTACAAAAGAACATTTCATATTGTTTAAAAAGATGAATTAATTTACAAGTTTTGGAAAATTCAATATTTTAACACTTGGATGTCAGTGCCCACGTAAGTTTTTTTTAAGCGTGAAATAGTCCCTTGCAGGAACGGACCAATCTTATTACCGTTTAAAAAACAACAGAGTAAATAATAACAAACCCTCAAAATTCTTCAGGATATTAGATATAAATTCTTTCTAGTGCCTTCCTTCCTAATGCCAGTCAAAAGCAGAGGGCAATATATAGTAGCATTAATAGTAAGATCATTATACAACAAAAACACATTTATAGTGGAAGGCAAAATAAAAAATTCTCTACAGAAATTCCATTTGAGGTGAGATGGCATCTCACTAAATGTCCTGTAACTATTTGGATAGCATTTTTCACCATACTTAGCCTCAAATACCCACACCCCCCTAGCTTCTGGAAAGTCAGTCTGTCCTTTGCAATTATTAAGTGCACCTGCTCATGCAAGGAACACATGTTGTGTGCGTAAACCCGAACCCAGTTACAATTTTGGAACAGCAGACACACTGGTAAAAAGCAGTAACTGACTATAAGACTGTATCTACAGAACCAGCTCATGATAAACAGGACTGAAGGGGTTTTTTTAAAGTCTTTTGCACAAGCATACGCGCACAGTACCTTTAACTGAAGATCTTTATTTCGAAGCTCAGCATCCTTCTCCCTGACGAGCTCCTTCAGCTGTGTTACTAGCTGTTCAGTACTCGTCAGCTGCTCAGTCAAATCTGTCACCGACATGCTTGTTGCATCTTGTGAGCCGGCAGCCTGCAGAGGTTAAGCATACTTTGAACAAACAAAATGGTGCAGACGATACCAGTTCTGCAAAAATTCCTCAGCTGGTGTTTGTCTGGGGTTTTTAAACCCTCTGCCAAAATCCTTCAGCTGGTGTTTGTCTGGGGTTTTTAAACCATCCAGCAAATATTACTAGAGTTCAATACTAAAACTTACATATATTATATGTACCTACACCAGACTGTTTTTAGCAAGTTCGATAGACACATGAAATTATAAATCTTAGAAACTGGTTTAGGAATATTGGTTTGAAATACAGCAAAAGCATCAAAGCATCGAAAACTGAATTTCCTCACTTCCTGGATTTGCAATGCAACAACCAGCAGTGCTACTGAACCTAGTGGCCATAAAATATTGATATTGAACATACTACGCACAAAAAATATACCTGGGATAAAGCTTGTGCAATTTCTACAAATGTTTTCTTACAGCAAGATAAGCATATGGAAGAGGAATAGAACAGCTGCGTTACGCACAAGAGATTAAATACCAAACCGACAGGAAGCAAGAACCCAACCTGACTTTGAGAGTTCTAAAACCGAGTCATGGTTAAGACTAGTTAAGCAACTTATTTGCAAAAGAGCAAGTACATACGATTAGTACCTCATCAATTGAAGATTCTCTACAGTAGAAATTCTTAAGAAAATATTATTTTAATAATAATTCAATACTTACTGCTGTTTTGGAAGGAGAATCATCTGCACTACCCCATTTCCACATAGCTTCACGATGGCTATGAAAACAAAAATGAAGTAATACCACAGTAAGTATCAGTGACCCTCAGATAACTGTAATTAACTCATTTCTCTCTACATATTTCACTGTAAAATGCTTGAAACTATTTTTTTCAATTGTGACAGCACTTCTGATTTCCACCACATTACTCATTGTTGAGAAATAATGAAATTACATATAAAATACGCATAATATGCCTCTTCTAAAAACTGCTAGTTAGTAAAATGTCGATACTATCAAAAATAATCCAAAGAAGTCCCTAAAGAATAAATGCCATAAAGTATTATTCAGCGTAGTTGCTTCTTCCACATAAACAACAGATACACACCACATACGCTCTGCTAATGTTTAACCTGACCTTAAACACTGCCTGCCCCTGCAACATAACAGGGATTATATCAACACATATTTCTATAAAATCATACCTAAAGACTACAACCATTAAAGAACATCAAACTGCTTTAATTGCCGTGCAACTGCTGCATATCTGAAAAATACCAAGAGTGCTGCAACCCTTGAGGTCACTGATCAGGACGCGAAATGCCTGCAGCTGCAACCCCAGAGCAGCAAGTGTTCCTTGATTCTTTTGCTCACCATCAGGTACCACAAATTGCCAAATGGCACCAAAGGACCAGACATACACATAATGGCAGTTTCTGATCATGGAAAGCTGGAGCTTCCTAACAACACAAGTATAGGCTATAAGGTTGTTTTAAAAAGCAAAATCCTACAGACCGAGTTAGGTACAAGGCAGCACAAAGGTTAAGACTTTTACTGCATAAGTGACAAACTTGGTTGAGAAAAAAAAAAAAAAATAGGCAAAGCCTAAAAACCAGCCCATGGAGTAAATTCCACATTGTGTCTTGGAGATATAATCTTAAAAGCAGACTAATGTCTCTTGCTCAGCCTCTGGATGATATTCCCAACAGCAGCATGAAGTGAAAAGAGAAGCACTTTTCAGCAAGTTTCACTCTCAACTAGCAACATCCAGAGAAAAATAATCTGTGCTTTCTGATCTGTATTACAGACTTAGGAAATACGCATACACAGAGCAGTCCTGAAGGTGGAGAACAGTTTACAATAAATGTTAGCACACAGCTTATCTTAAAAAGTATGCAGAATGACGGCAGAGGCTACTTTTAAAGCTCTTTATCATTTCAAAGCTAAAGCCAGGAATCACAGACTGCAATCTATGACCTACATTACCCCAAAGGCCAAACTGGATTCGCTGAGAATCTTCTAACTTTAAAATCAACAAACCAGCCATGGGATCAGGGATGGGAATTACAGAACTTGGAAACAAAAACCTCTTCGCAAAACTTCTCCAGAGCCACAACATCAAACCCGTTCTCAGTGAAAAGCTCATTTCCAGATACACAAATGGGTCACCCAGGTACAAAGAGAACAAAATGACTCACTAGATGTAACCTGGTGGTGCATTTGTATTTTATTTATGAATATTTTAGCTCATTTCCAGCTCTGATTGATGCAATCACTTTTGCTCACTTCATATCTCAGCATCACAGCTGAATACCTCCACTGTTACTGTCTGATGTGTTTTTATTTACATCAGGGACACTAAATATTGACAACTTTCCCAAACCAAGCTGGGAAACGAAACTGACAGACTTTCCTTACCCAGCAGAAATTCAACGAATAACGTTTTTTACTTCTCTTCTGGGGTAAAGACAGCAAGTTAAGGCACTGAAGCTGATGAAGCTGCGATACAAATGCTGGACCACTCAACTCCATCCATTCTCCTTGCGGTACATCTAAACACAATTCAATGAAGTTTTTTATCACTATTTTCCTTCCTTTGGCAGCCCGTGCCCTGGACACAGCTTTATCAAGTATCAAGCATCAGAGAAGCAAGGAATCCAAATTATCTGTGGCTACCCTCTCTGAAGTTTTCTCAGTGACAGATAATTTGTCTTTCCCCTCTAAGTTCAAACCGCTCACCCTCGCTTTCAAGGTTTCACATTGCTTCATCACTGCCAGGACCTCATCCTACTCTTCATCTTGCGTGTTTGGTTGGAATTGACGATCTTAAAGGTCTTTTTCCAACCTATCTGATTCTCCACTACTATTCTATTCTATTTTGCTGTGTTGACAGCTTTCTTTGCCATCCACTATGCCCTCACTTCCACTAACCTCTCCTTCACTGAAGAACTGGCAGGATAGTCAAACCTTTCACCAATTCCACTTCAATGTCATGAAAAAAGTTTCTTCTGATGCTCAAACTACAACTGAGGTTCTGGCTCTTATTGCAACAGGATGTCACCAAAAAGAAAAAACCCATCGGCAGCTTGGCTTTCATACTCATCCATTCTGTTGTCCCAGCACTAGCTGCAGCCAAATCCAGCTAAAAAAAAACAACCATGTATTATTCCTCCAAGTGGTTTCCAGCCCGCTTAACTGCCCTGAGCCAGATAACCCAGAGCCCAGCACAAGGGGCACTCAGAAGCACACACAGCAGCTCATGTCGAAGCGGTCACCAAAGTCCTACAGCTTGAGGGTGACCAATCTACACGGCAAAATACTGAACTGTATTCTTACAAAAACCTATTTAGATGACCACCCAGGCAGAGAACCAGCCCACTGACTCCCACAGAACTACTCATGTTTGTGTAACCCTCCCCACATCTATTCCAAAATCATTCTGATATTAGAAACAGCTTCAAAGAGCACTCATTTGAGTTCTCCCTATGAAGCACGTAAGGTAGGACCTTCCCTTCTCTTGCAGGAATACAAACAAGGGAAGAAAACACTGAGGCAGAACTCCGCTCTTACCACCTTGCATCTTACTACCACAGAAGGGAACAGTAGTCCCCTTCCTCCTCTCTTCCACAAGACTACAGCAGAAAAACAGACAATAGCACAAGTGTTTAAAAACTCACTATTTCAACAAGTCATATTTTACTAGTTTATTTTTATTTTAAAAGTCAAATTTTATTATTTTAAATCTACTTTCTAGAACAATTTTGTGCTTTAAACACACACACTGAAAGAAAAGCATTCTAATACAATTACGTTCTTATTGTACCAGCCCATTTTTGTTTGTGTCCTTGCTCGATGGCTTGCTGAGATATCGGTTCTTCTGAATAAGCTGAACTTGTTTTCAAACGGTCTGTGCCATCCATGACCTAAAAGCTCTTGGATAAAAACTGCACAAACACACGACGCGCAGCAAAGCACAAGCACCGAAGCCACATTAATCGAAGCTAATATAACAGTACACGTAAATATCTATCACTTGGGTCTGTTATCAACACTATTTCTTCAACATTTTCCTCTCAAAGAAAACCCAAGCGGAGCACTACTGGGAAAACAAGGGAGCCGCAGAGCCGCA